AGTTCAGCCGGTAACCACCTGCAGGCAGGCAGGGACTAGAAAGTGGATAGGGTACTTACATGCCGTAATGTCGCTCTGCATTGCATGAAACACTGCCCTGTGCAGCACGTGGCGACGTGGAGCTGCACGGACGTCGCGCTGCATCTGCTCAAGACGCTTTGTCTATGCGGCTGTTTAAAAGCCAAGAAAGATGAGCTATCGCTCTAAAAGCGGCTGTGGCCGGCCGCTCACGGGCTCAGTGGGTGGTTTTTAGGGATACCCGCAACAAGGTCCACGTAGGTTTGCTCACTGACAAAAAAAGACATCTGAATTGTGGATTGCTCGTATAAATCGTTTGAAGTGGAGCGAATAGCAACATCGGTCGGCAATTGGATTGGAGGAACTGCTGGCTCGCTGTTCCTGTGCCGCGGCGTTGAAACGTGATGGGGATGGCCGTTCATGACTGCTTGAACTCGACTTGCTTGTTTGTCTCCAGATCAGCACGGTTGTACGTTTAAACTATCGTACACAACCAGCTATTTTGTGCTTGTTTGGAATCCGTAGCCGCGTTACACAAATGAACTCATTCTGCACGAACTGTTCGCCGGCGTGCGAATCACACGCTGCTTCTTCACAGGATGCAGCTCACCGCAACGCGGTTGACCGTGCCGCTCATACATGCCATCTCGTTGGACCAACTCCAGTTGGCGGGACGTTTCAAACGTAGATGTCCCTTGTATATTTCAGCTCACCCTGCCACCCCAAACGGCAGCACATGTAGCCTGTTGCACGGTCCCTTTGTCTTACCATTGATTGCACCTTGGGATTGCACTTGAGTGTCAAACGGAGGTACATGATTTGGACGCAGTTTTTTATTCCAGGCTTAATCTTTCGTGTCATTTGATGGTGCGGTTCGAGAAAACTGACGGATATATTCGGGATTTTTATTCCCAGTATGCAGTTTTCCTTCTGTAACAAACGCGTTGGACGAAGCCCCAGGCTCCTGTCAATTGGCCTCTACGCTCACACACTCTCTGCCATTGATCACGGCAGCGTGATTTGGTCAGCCGCAACGCAAACCCACGTCAGAAAAGCCGTATCTTCAGCCCTCCGTCTCGTGCCACTGGCACGTATTACAGCCAATAAAAGTAACAAGTGTATCGCATTCCAGTGCAATATAATGTTTCTATCAACCTTTGCACACGCATCAACTAATCCTGCCTTCCACTATCAATTTTAAAATAGCTGCGCCCTTCAGTTGCCACTGGAGCTTTCTGAATGGCCTCGTATTCGTTTCGGGCCTTGTGGCTGATGTGACTTTTACGTTGGCATTGTGTTGAAGAATTAAATGTCCAATTGCGTCTGTAGTTTGTCGCAATGTCATCATTTTTGTGGGTCTAAGTGCACCTGCGACGAGAAGGTGCACCCGTGAGTGATCCGCTGGTGAACAAAGACATGATAATAAACAATGATTAAAATGAAATCATGAGTATTTCCTGCAGTCGGCCGAGGGGAGGGAGCACCACGAGGAGTTCATATAATATTTAGACATTATGACGAAAATGCAATCGTGAAATAACCGATCCCCCCCCCCCCCCCCCCCCCTATTAAGAGCGCCGAGCTGAGCTACAGAAGCCTTAGAGTGAATCAGCTGCGGCGCGTTCGCAGGCACGTCCTGATTCAACACTGTCTGGTATGTGTTTGGCAGCTGCGGGCTGGCCGCCGGCCGGTAACCGGTCGATGCTTGGGCCGGGCTGGTCGGCCGCCGACGAGGCCGGAGGCCGGCGCTGACCGGCGGTTGGCCGCGGGGTATCCGCCGCCGCCGACGGGGGCCAATCCGAGGCGGCGCCGCTGCCCGGGGGCGGCAGCAGCGACGCTGCCGGCTTCCAGCTGCCTGCCAAAGGCAAATGCCTGGCACGGTCGCGTCCGTACCCTCCACCCCGCGCTGTGCTGCATCAGGCGGCGATACGCGTTACAGTCGGCTCTGCGCTGCCGTGGGGCATGGGGATCCTGTCAGGTGGCCCTGTGACTGCCGGCAGATGGGGATGCCTGTCGGTCGGCTCTGTGCTGGCCGGCAGATGATATGCCTGTCACGGTTTGGCTCTGTGCTGCCGTCAGATGGGGATGCCTGTCACGGTTTGGCTCTGAGCTGGCCGTCAGATGGGGTATGCCTGTACGGTTGACTCTGTGACTGCGCAGATGGGGATGCCTGTCACGGTCGGCTCTGTGCTGCCGGCAGATGGGGATGCCTGTCACGGTCGGCTCTGTGCTGCCAGCAGATGGGGATGCCTGTTACGGTCGGCTCTGTGCTGCCGGCAGATGGGGATGCCTGTCACGGTCGGCTCTGTGCTGCCGGCAGATGGGGATCCCTGTCACGGTTGGCTCCGCTCCGCCTGCGGAGGACGACACTCGGTGTGGCAGCCGCGAGCTGTCTACCGATGGTAGTGCTTTGTGCGGTGGGCTCCGTACGGCTTGGAAAATATGCTTTCTGTTGTGACCAGTTTGTAGTTCGCAGCTCGCTGCGCAGTTTTGGCCCGGGGCACCTGTCTGCTCCGCGCGCTGCGCGCATGTCGTGATAGTTCTCACGAATGGGTCCCGACCGCCCACGGAGGACGGCAGTTCTGGTACCGTGGGCTCTGCACAGCCGATAGAGGAACGATGTCATTAGTTGGTACCATAGACATCGTACTTCGTACAGATCCGAGTGCGTATCTGGTGGGTCGACCCCATGCAGGCCACAGACGGTGATACTTGGTACTGGCAGTCGGAGTGCCGACGGGGACAGCAGACTCTTTCGCCGGCGGCGGTGATGGGGGGGGGGGGAGGGGGGGGGGGGGTCGGTCGCTCGGCCGTGGTCTGCTAAAACAGTCCCCGCTCCGTTCGTGCTGCTGAGACGCAAATGCTTAGCGGCGGCGAGTGATGGCAGCAGGGGGGGGGGGGGGGGATGGCCGCGCCCGACGGCGTTTGAGACGGAGCGGCTCGCACGGTGGGAACGGCCATCTTCCGGGCCGCTGAGTACCCGAGCCGCCCTGGTTCCCAGCGTCTTCGCAGCGCTAACACAGCGGTTCTGCGGCATTGTTGCACACTGGAAACACGCCGGTTTTGGCCTTTTATTTCAGTCTTTTTGCTCTTCTTTATTCCAGCACCAGCTAATGACGATGCACCTGAGTTCAATGGACTGTTCCTTGGTGGCTGGTGTTTTCATGTTTCCGGAACACAGCGTGGTGCGCACGGCACCGAAAGCTTGAACTGCTCCATGAGTGTATACTGGCACAGTATTTTATAATTATAAGGATATCCTCTCACTTGTATGGCCTGAGCTTAGTAATTGGGTATCAGCCACTGGCGTTTTTTAAATGAACTAGCTTAAACGATATATATATATATATATATATATATATATATATATATATATATATATATATATATATATATATATATATATATATATATATATATGTATATATGGGGGGGGTGCGTGTGTGTGTGTGCGTGTGGATGTGCGTGTGTGTGCGTGTGCGTGCGTGCGTGTACGTATGTGTGCGTGTGTGTGTGCGTGTGTGTGCGTGTGTGGGTGTGGGTGGGTGGGTATGTGTGTGTGTGGGGGTGTGGGTGTGTGTGCGAGTGCGTGCGTGTGCGTGTGTACGTGTATATGTTGTGTGTGGGTGTGTGTGTGTGTGTGTGTGTGTGTGTGGTGTGTGTGTGTGTGTGTGTGTGTGTGTGTGTGTGTGTGTGTGTGGTGTGTGTGTGTGTGGTGTGTGTGTGTGTGTGTGTGTGTGTGTCAAACTCGGGCGTTAGATTTGAAAATTTTGTTACCGGATTTGTGGGTATGTGTATATGGACACTTAATTTTTGGTTAGCTGTTAGACTCTTAGTGTCGGGCGTTCAAGCTAATTTTCGCGGGTGCCAGGTCCGACCTCATCCGCGGACGGCCGCCGGCTTCGTTGCCCAAGGCGCATGAGCCGGTAGGCCCGCTGGCGTCACCGGAGGCGCGCACGCCACCCCTGGGAATTTGAACGGGCCCGGTCCCACGGCGGCGCCAAGGCCTGGCGTTCGGTCACACAAAGGACGGCCCGTCCGCCGCCAGCACATTGTGCAACGCCCGCCGGCCCAACCAAGGCCTCCAAACGCCCCCCAGCGGCCGGCTGGGCCCGGCTTGCTCGCGGCCTTTTGGCGGTCACCGGGTCTGCATCGATGGGCCAAGCAGGGCTTAAGGACGCTGTCGAGACGTCGTGGTGCCCCGCGTGCTCCTGCCTGATTCGTTCCCGACACTTAACTTGCCTCATGCATTGTTTTTCGAGATATTGTTCAAATCGCCTCGAGCGCCAAATTAAAAGCACTGCTAATTCTAAGATAAGGTGGCTTCATTCCTTTACCTGCAGATCCCGGAGATACAGGTATGGCCAGGGTTGTAGTCAGGAAATGAATAGTATCCCCGAGACGGGTGACATCAGTTCCGGGCCTTTACTTGGAAAACTGAGTTATCCCCACTCTCGTATTACCCGCGCTTCGATGTGTGAGAAATTTGATCCAGCTCCCAGCCCCCAGTCATTTGAGGCGCTGACTGGTACCCTGTCCGAATCCTCCCGTCATCGAAGCCTCTCCGCCTCAGCGTGCCCGTCCCCAGCCAGCCAACAGCTGATTCCCAGCGATAACTTCTGCTGTGGGACTGAGCGTTAGGCTTTGAATTCGCGCACGTGCTGCATGAAAATTGGATTTAGCCAAGATCCAAGAATATTTCGCCTTGATCTGAGCTCCACCAGCTGCGTCGCCAACATTTCCGCATGGCCAACATTTGGCGCCGGGGGTCGCGCGCCCAGCACGCGGCCGGCCGGCGTGGCAGGTGCCTCCGCCTGGCTGGGGACGGGCCGGCCGGACCCCGGCACTGACCGCCGGCGCATTCGTGAACAGGCCCCGCAGGCAAGAGGTCGCGCCGCCCCAGGTCCGGAGCCGCCGGCCGCCGCCCGCTCCGGCCCGCGCCGCGCTGTCGCCGACCCAGCCGGCCTTGGGGCACACCCCGGTCGTTCCAGGCGTGTTTCAAGGTCGGCCTCGGTCGCGCCGTGCGCGCAGCCATTTTGAACCGGCACCTGCGCGGGCCGGCCGTGGGCTGTTTACCGGTCGTCGCCGCGAGCGGTGCGCCATGGCCGACGTCAGCCCAGCGGCCAGCGACGACAACTCGTCCGAGGCGGTGGCGAAGCGACGCGACGACACCGTCGGCGGTCTGCTGCTGCCGGCTAAGCTGCGTCACAACAACAACGAGGTGGCGTACGCCATCATCGACGGGCGCGTGACGCAGGTGCAGGTGGCCACTGCCGCCGACCTGGCCGCCGCCGCCGCCGCCGCCGCCGCCGCCGACGTCGACCCCGACGATCTTCCGATCGACGTGGACGACGAGATGGAGCCGGACGAGCGGGACGCGGACGAGGACTCGATGGAGGTGAGGCGGCGGCGGCACTGTTCGGACGGCGGCGCGCGCCACTCTGGGCCGCCGCGTGGGCCGAGCGCCGCGCGGCGCCATGTGATGGTTGCAGGCGGCGCGGCCGGGCCCGCCGGCGGCGATACAGACAGGTGGCGGCCGGCGGCGCGGCCCACAGCCGCCGGCCACAGCGCCGCTCGTTTGTTGATGTCCGCGCGGGAAGCCAGTCGGCCGATTTCAGTTGCGGGCGGAGGGCCGGCCTTGTGGAGGCTGCTGTTGTTGGTGGCTTGGCTTTAGACGGTTGGAAATAGGAGGGGGAGGGGACGCTCCTCCGCCGATGGTGACTGCGTCTCGAGGCTGCTGATGGTTGCAAGGTCCATTGTCGCAACGCGGTGCTAATGGCCGTGTTGCGTTGCACTTTCCCGGCGGGTCGTTGAAGTCTCTGTTCAACACCTGAGCGCCGTTGGTCATCGCGGCGACCACAACGGAGCGTTGTGGCCTAACCGGGCGATCAAGCAGCTTCTGCTCTGACGGAAATTGTCATGGTCGCGTTTATATCTCCTTCTCGTTGGTTGGCGCGTTGGTGCGACTGGACCGTTAGCATCGAGCCTCCAGTTTCACTTGAAGCGTGGTCGAAAGCACGCTACGGCGCGCACTCGGCGTCTGCCTCCTTTCACCAAGGGCGGAGCACATTGACTGCAAAGTTGCATCGATCGAGGCAGCGCTCCGGCGAGTGTAGGCGGTGGAGTTGCTGCATGCGTTTTTCACCGGCCAGTTTCCAAGGCGTCGACGGCTTGGAAACTGGCTGCTTGAAAACTGTCAATCTTCTTGGTAATGAAATACGCCTGGTTGAACCCTTACCCATATATGAATGCTTAATTAGTGTCTGAATATTAAACGGACAGACCAATAGTTCGGTGGTACACGGAATACCTGAGCCATGGTATCAATGTCACGCTAGTGAAGATTTGATCACATAACATTTGTTGTTCGTTCGCATTTGTCACGAAGACACATGCGTATGGATTGATTAGGTACAATTGATCCCGAATGAAATTATTTTTATGAGGGAGTGTTGAAATTGTGAAGCTTGGAACAGCACCCATACCTTAATCTAACGGTCACCAGTCCCCTTCCTGTTCCCCTCCCCATGTCGCATATGTGGCCCGGCTGTCCCCGACGAGTCCCCCGGCCGGCGGGACCGGGCCGCCGGCGGCAGGGGCGAGGCCAGCACTGGAAGACGCGGAGCCTCGGCACCGCGTTCGTCGAGCGAGCTGGTCGACTGCGCCTCGAACCTCAAACGGTAGCTGTCACTTGTCACAGTCGCTTCGTAGGTGCTGCCGTCACCGCCTGCCTGCATGCCTCACGGCTCCGAGGGACAGAGGCCGACCTTGGCAGAGGTC